TACTTGTGGGAATGTAAAATGGTCCAACCACTCTGGAGAATGGTATGGTGCTTCCTCAGAAAGCTGCAGATTTCATTTTCCATTGATTTAATATCAAGAGTAATAGTATCAAAAAAAAAAAAAAAAAATCAGCCTCTCCACCCTGGTGTTAAAACTCAGACCTGGGTTCTGGTTTTTGTTTTGGGGAAGGATGAAATCATTTGTTTTTTGGTTTGGATTTTGGTTTGGATGCTGCAATTTTTTCCTTCCAAAGTGAGAAACTCTAAAGCCCATTTTGATTTTATGTTATAGACAGGAGCTTGCTTATGTGACTACCCATATAACTAACAGAGCTCATCTGTCCTCCCTACCTCCCTTCTCCCTTATCTTCCCACTTCTCAGCAAAACATGTGTTAGGGATCTAATTGTTAACAAACATGAAGACTCATTTTCACCTGAAGTAGGATTCTGGGATAACGTAAATCGAGATGTAACTCAGTGGACTGGAAGAATTAATAGATTACATTTAGATACATAACACAACCCACCACATAGAAAAATGTCCCAGTTAAGCTATAATTTAAGATACGGGCTTTCACAAAGACTTTATAAGCTCCAAAAATCTAAGGGTCTTCCTTCCAAGTCTATTCCAAATCCCTTCCACTTTCCAACACAGGACTGTAACCACCTATAATCATATGGCAAAGGGGGCAGTGAAATAGGAGAGGATCAAGTGAGCTTTGCCAAGAGAGAGTGTGCTGTTGTACCCACCACCTTTTGTCCTGAGAGGTTTTCAATCCTGTCTCATCCACAGGCCTTTCCTTATCCTTTGAAGGTCTCACTCAATAGGCCTCTAAAGATTCCCAAGACCAAGCCTCACAAATCTTCAAGTTAGCCACTATATACAGAGACATCTTGCATTCTTCATCTTTCTAACCTTGTTCATAATTGGGGTAGGGGGCTGTAATGACCCTAAACAAACCCATCTCCAGACACTAACATAGCGTTCAAACACAGCTGGAAATAAAAGAAGCAAATATAAGTCATTATGCAGACAGCTGGCCACTCAAAGCCATTCTGTCTTAGCTGTCAGCAAGTTCCCTGACTCCTCAGGACCCTTATAATTAATACCAGGCTCTGTACAATTACCCACAGGACTATGTGCCAGGAACTGAATCAATCTTCACAGTAGGAGATGGGGAGATGAATCATAAGAGATCCTGGACTTCATAGAACAGAAGACCAAGAAGGAAAGAAAGGCATGAGACAAGGCTGCATTCTCAGGGAAGATCAGGGTGTATATCATGGATAAAAACAGACAAAAACTGTGAGCATGTAAAATTGAGGATAGTGACCATGGTGGGTGACTAAGAAGAGAACATTTCAGATGGAGGTAAAAATAAGAACATGCTAAGATGAGACTTATAGACGGTAGAGAGGATTTATGAAGTTAACACTTACTGATGCCATCCTTTGTGCCAACCACCATATCCCGTTCAGAGGACCCAGTCCTTGAGCAAGGGTGCTCACATGACTATGGCAAGCAGTGATGAGGGTGTGTAACCCCAGCCAACTTTGGCAGATCTCATGGTTGGAAGCACTAATTATATACTGTTTCCTCTCTCTTAAAGGCTTGGCAGTTTCTGCAATCATAAAGTCACTTGAAAATTACTTCTCCCCAACACTTTTCCGCGTCATCCGTCTTGCCCGAATCGGCCGCATCCTCAGACTGATCCGAGGAGCCAAGGGGATCCGGACGTTGCTGTTTGCTCTTATGATGTCCCTGCCTGCCCTGTTCAACATCGGGTTGCTCCTCTTCCTCGTCATGTTCATCTACTCTATCTTCGGCATGTCCACTTTTGCACACGTCAAGTGGGAAGCTGGTATCGATGACATGTTCAACTTCCAGACCTTCGCCAATAGCATGCTGTGCCTCTTCCAGATTACCACGTCAGCTGGCTGGGATGGTCTCCTCAGCCCCATCCTCAACACGGGCCCCCCATACTGTGACCCCAACCTGCAAACCAACAGCAGCTCTCAGGGGAACTGTGGGAACCCAGCTATAGGCATCTTCTTCTTCACCACCTACATCATCATCTCCTTCCTTATCGTGGTCAACATGTATATTGCTGTAATTCTGGAGAACTTCAATGTTGCTACAGAGGAGAGCACTGAACCCTTGAGCGAGGATGACTTTGACATGTTCTATGAGACTTGGGAGAAGTTTGATCCAGAGGCTACCCAGTTTATTACCTTTGCAGCCCTCTCAGACTTTGCAGACACCCTCTCTGGCCCTCTAAGAATTCCAAAACCCAATCGGAATGCCTTAATCCAAATGGATCTGCCCTTGGTCCCTGGAGATAAGATCCACTGTTTGGACATCCTTTTTGCCTTCACCAAGAATGTGCTGGGAGAATCTGGAGAGTTAGATTCTCTGAAGGCAAATATGGAAGAGAAATTTATGGCAACTAATCTTTCAAAGTCATCTTATGAACCAATAGCAAACACCCTGCGGTGGAAGCAAGAAGATATTTCTGCTACTGTCATACAAAAGGCCTATCGGAGCTACATGCTACACCGTGCCATGGCAAGGTCCAACCCCTCAGGTATGCCAAGGGCTGAGGAGGAAGCTGTGTCACCCACAGATGAAGGCTTTGTGGCATTCATGGCAAATGAACATTATGTGCCTCCAGACAAATCTGAAACTGCATCTGCCATATCTTTCCCACCATCTTATGACAGTGTCACTAGAGGTCTTAGTGATAGAGCCCACATAAGCACATCTAGCTCAATGCAAGATGCAGATGACGTCATCAGTAAGGATGCACCTGCCTCAGGACCCCAATGAAGACATTCCAGCATGGACATATACAATTCTGATTTATCCTTCTGATCTACGACAGTTCTTTCCCATTATAGATGGCACCCAACTACCGCTTCACCAATGCATGCCACTGGTCACAGTGTCAGACTGGCAAGGGACTATAGTTGGTGCCTACTTTTGAAGATGTCCCCATACACCAACCAGAGTCATAACCAAAAGCATCTCCACTGTTACTTTCCTTTTGATTTTCAATATCAGATGGTGGGTTCTATTACTTTGTAAAATATATCCCTGGTCCTTTTATTTTTGTTGTGACTAGAGCTTACATTTACCCAGGCCAACTTCTAAGGACCAGAACTTCCAGGAATCTATAACAAGAATGTAATTGGAGGTAACTATGTGGTATTGTATAGAAACTGGCAGTATTTAAGATTTTGCATGAATGCATGTTGACAGCTTATAGACAACTGCTCTGGACAACAATGACACTCACAGCCTTTGATCTATCTCATGAAAGGCCTTTGAGATAGCAATTAAAGTTAATATTTTTAAAGGCATTCCAAGACCAATGTTGTATCTTAAAAATCATTCTACTTACTAAATTATGTTCTGGTGTGGCAATGCAGGATAATGTGCTGGACCGCAAGGTCGGCTCCTCGGAAACCTTATATAGGGTTTCTATGGGTCAGAACCAACTCGACAACACTTAACAACAACAATTATGTGATACTGGTAAGTGTCATGGATCACTTTTCCCTCTCTTCCAAGGTTCCTGATATTTTGCAATTTGAGTTTCACGTTGGGTGAAGACTGTGCTGAGAATTGGAAAAGTGGACAGTAACCTTCCAATAATTTTCTGGTTCACCTTGGTCCTAGCTCTTTCCTCTCTTAACCTCAGTTTTCCCACTCTAAAATTGGGGGTGGGTACAGAATGGTTACTGTCATTAGCCCTCACATCTCATGTTGTAAAACTCAGTGATGCTCTGCCCCATTTCTAAACAGAAAACAATCTCTTTTTTGGTTGCAATGGTCTATCCTTTCACCTGTGTAGCTCAAGAGACAATTTCATACACTTTCCAGAGCCTGTTTCATACCTCATAATCCGACTTTGGGGAGGGATTCACATTCCTGTTGGACCAGGCCTCCATGAACAGCAAAATCAAAAGAAGAGGGATACTTGGAACAAGACAATCTGGAAGAAAGAATGAAAATTATTAATTAGTTTCTTTAACTCATCCTTCAAATATTATTTGTTGTTGATGTTAGGTGCCATCAAGTCAATTCCACCTCACAGTGACTGCACTTGAGTCATTGTCACGTGACAGGGTTTTCTAGGCTGTATAATCTTTAAGGAAGCAGATCACCAGGTGTTTCTCCTGTGAAACTGCTAGGTGGGTTCAAACCACCATCCTTTTCAATTAACAACCAAATATTTAACCATTATGCTATCAGGGGTCCTTCAAAAGTTCTTATGCACCTATTATATACCAAACACTGGTCTATAGGAGTTATGCCTCCAAAAATGAACTGAATTTAATCTGATGAATGGGGCAACAGTGGTCAGAGAAGAGTATTCCTTGTCCAAAGGCAGAGGGCATTCTGAGATCAAGGAAAGCAAGGAGTGCATATGACTACAACATAGAATATAAGGGATTTCTGTTCCCATAAGGATTTACAGCCTCAGGAACCCTGTAATGAATCGCTATGAGTCAGAACCACCACCACCATGATCTTTTATTAATCCTTTGGAATATTCCCAACCACAATCACAAAGATCAGGTTAATTTTTTGGATATGTATTTAATCATTTAATAAGATTTTCCATTTATACAATTAGAAAACCTTGAGGCTGATACACCTTATATGCCTCAGATTTTCTGGGACCTTGCTCTCCCTTCTTTGTCACTGTTGGCTAATCAGAGGCCAAAGAGGTTTTCAGAATGCTTGTTAGACTTTTCCAGCAGCCACAGATTCAAGTTGAGATGACTAAGGGCACCAACCCAGCACATATGTCTGTTGTGTGGGTACCTGGTTAATCTCTAAATGATATGTCAACAAAAATGGCTCTTCCTTCCTACCTAGTTTCACTAAACCAGAGAGCACAAACATTGGGCAGCCCCTCCAACATCTAAATCCCATGTAGACAATGAAAATCACAGCTGAGAAGAGGACAGACTTGGATGGACAGACTGCTTAGGGTCAAATTTGCTCTTTAGATGTTGTGCAGAAGAATTAAACGTACCCGGCCATCAGGCTTGATTTATTAAGTTATAGTATCCTTGAAGGTATTCTTCATACATTTTTTTGTCTCCCCCCCCCTTTTTTTTTTCTACATGACAGCACTTAACAACAACAACACAGATACACTTGCCAGATTATAATGGGAACCACTGGAAAAGTGATTCAATATATCTAGCTCGAATTATACAGAGTTTTCAGAAAAGTATCCAGTACAAATACAAGATTGTTGTCATTGTTGTTAAGTGCTGTTGAGTCACTTCTGACCCATAACAACCCTGTATAGGGTTTCCAAGGCACAGTTAGTAAGCTTGAACCGCCAAGCTTGTGGTTCAAACCAACTTTGCAGTCCAGCACATTAACCCACAGTGCCACTTGAAAACATCACTAGATTTAGTTCCAAAGTTCACCTGGTGGTCCAATTATAAGGTAGGAACTAGACTCCTAAAGGAACAAACTGGAGAGTTCCAGAGAAGATGTAGACCCAGAGCTACCTTCTCAGCATTAGCCATAGGAGATGTCACTAGAATATATCTGACCCCAAATATGTGAGAATATCCTAGCACTGAAGGGAAATAGGAAGCAAAACAGTGGTACCGACTGCATGACCATCTGAAAACTTAAAGCTTTTTAAAAATATATACTTCCACCACAAATGCCATGCTGACTTTTCATAACATTAAACTGTGTAACATGAAGACATGGGTGGCCAAGATCATTCAGGCGCATTTCATTACCGCAAATGGTTAAGTAGAGCAGAACCTTGTGTACAATTCCATGTGCTTTAGGACAAAGGTGAAGTAGCTTTGCTAACTGCTGGGGATATGAAATGAGTAAGATAGATCCTTAACCTGGAAGTGAACACAGCTTGCAAAGGGCTAGAACTATACCTGTTAAGGAAGGAAGGAAGAGAGAGAGAATGAGAAGAATGAAAGAAAGAGGAAGCAAGGAAGAAGACAACTCCTAGGTTTTCAGGAGCGACAGGAGTCCATGATATTTGAATAAAACAAAAATGCTAGTACATAGCAGTCAGTAGTTTGGAAGGAGATGAGCAGGGGAAGGGTTTTGACTTAATTAATGCTGCTGTAACACAAATACTTCAGATGAATGGTTTTAACAAACAGAAATTTTTTATCTCACAGTTTAGGAGGTTGGGAAGTCTGAATTCAGGGCACCAGCTACAGGGGAAACTGTCTTCACTGCCTCAGAAGGAAGGTCCATGTCTTTATGCTCTCCCTAGAAGATTATCAGTGCAGGGACTTATAGTAGGTCCCTCTCCCTCTGTGCCCTTCTTTCCCCTTTTGTCTCTTGTAAAATAGCAGATGACACAGGCCATACCCGTGATTAAGGGTGTTACATATCACCCTAATCCCGTTACGATCAGGGCTGATCACAGTAGATCACATCCTGTGGGATGATTACCTCACTATTTAACTGCCACATTATGTCAATGCATAACTTCCAACCACTGAGAAGCATGGCCTAGCCAAATTGACACATATTTTGGGGGGAATCCAATTCAATCCATGACAGGTTCTAAAGCTTTATTATTACTCAGTAAGATTGTAAATGTTTTTATTATTATTGGACTTAGGTAAATTCAAAACGTATGACTTAATTTCTAAAGTTGCCACTAACATGACTAAAACAGAGTATGTAATTTCCAAACTAGAAGAAGGGGGAATTAGCTAAGAAATACTCTATCAAAAAAGTAATATTGAATTGGCAAATGTGCTGTATATGAGGGGTCTTCAAAAAGTTTGTGGAAATTTTGAATTAAAAAATAGTGGAATTTTGCCAAAAACTCTTTGAAGACTCAAATATTTTACAATAAAAAAAGTAAGGCGGGAAAGGGAAGAAAAGAGAAATAGAGAGCAAGAGGATTAAGTACAAAAAATTAATGTAGGCTATTTAAACAAATATAACAATAATTATATTAAATGTAAACGAATCAGTGCTTCAGAAAATAAAGATAGGCAGGATTTAAAATTGTTCAAATGAGTGATGTTTATTGAGAGACACACCTAATATTTAAGGTTACCAAAATGGAAAAAAATAAAGTAGAAAAGCATATGCCAAGTAAAAATTAACCAGTCAACAGGATACACATGTTATTTTTAAGTACTTATAGAACATTTGTACTCTATGTATAGCCTATAAGCCATATAGGAATAAGATTCAAAATTTCTGAAGAGATTAAAATCACATAAAATATATTTTCACAACATAATACAAATTAGCTGAGAATAATGAAAAAACAATGCATCATCAGATATTTAGAAAGTAATATTTCTAACAGCTTAATAAGAAGTCTTATGAAAATTGAGAATGCTTTTGACTAAAATTTAATGAAAATAGCATATGTTAAAACGTGCATAACTATAACTAAAGCAGTATTAATAAAGAAATGTCTAGTTTGAAATGAGTGTGAGTACTGTGTGTATGTGTGGGTCTCTCAAAAGAATAAAGGCTGAAAGTTAATAAGCATTCACTTTATTAATTCAACAAAAATAAATAAATAAAAAGTCAAGTCAAAGAAAAGAGAAGGAAGGAAATATAGATACAAACAGAACAAAATCATAAAAATAAAACTTAGTGTTTCCTTTAGAATGAAATATTAAATTTGACAAACATCTGGCAAAATTCATTGAAAAAAAAAAAAGTCATTGCTAAAAAAGTCAAGAACAAATAACTAATATCAGAAATGATAAGGGAGACGTCATTACAGATGCCATTGACATTAAACAGACGCTAACCTGGTATCTACAAATTTGAACATGTAAATG